AAATCAGTTTTTTTGTGTGGGAATGGAATATCGGTAATCTACTAGATATTATGGGAATAATCATTATAATTGATGACTAAGTTTTGGAAGTAGATATAGCATTTCATATCTCTCTTCCGCATAGCCTCCTAGTCTCCATATCCCATCATTCTCCCAGTGTGGCTTAGCAGTACAAGTTGAGTTTTAGTTTACGGAGTGCGCACCACCTCTCTCTCTCTTTCTCACCCCATTGCTGACTCTACTTCAGGGTTATTCCTACACTCTCTCAGTGTGGCTTAGCCGCAAATTGTAAGTTTCATTTCCAATAAACAAGATTTCGTGGCACAAAGAGAAGCATCAAAAATAACTTAATTTAAAGTACGTGGCCGCAATGTTTTACTTTGGGTTTTCTTTCTTTTCGGTTCAGTGGAGTGACCGAAAACAGCAGCAAAAGAGGGCCGAAAATAGTCTCCAAGAGTCTCAACTTGAACTCAAGTTATTTTTTGGCCACTTTTGGACACTAAACAACAGAGTGGGGGCAAGGGGATGGCAGCGGCACTGCCAGTGGATGCCAGCGAATGGACAGCGGCACAGCCAGTGGGGACCATCCAGCGTATGGCAAACACCAAAGACGACCTTGTGCCCAGAGCCGACAGCTGTTATGCAATGAAAAGGGTGGCTGGGGCGGTGTGGGAGGGACGGAGGGTTGAGGTAAGCAAACAAGTGAAAAAAAGGCAAACAGTTGGTTCAATGTTTGACAATCGAATTAGTCCATCAATGTTGATCATCAATGATGATGATTGCCATCAAAGTGAATCAAAATCAATCATAAGACGCACGCCGCCAATCAATTAAAGTCCCACTTTTGCCCCCAACCCCCCCAAAAAAGTAAATTTGCGTTTAAATGTTTCACCATCGATCGATCGAACGATCGAACGATCGATTCGATTTCATTAAAATCCAATCAAAGCAATTGAAGATGATAATGTTGGGGAATGGGGCAGATGATGGAGTGGAGAGGCACGAGGCACAACAATTGAAATCTCTCTTTTCTTTCCTTTTCACTCACTCGTTCAATAAATCAATTGGCTTAGCCCCCCCCCATTACCTCCGCTCCATTTTGATTGCCTCAATCAGATTGAAGTTGCACTTGCCGTTGCACTTGCACCACATCATGTGTCCGTCCGTAACAGTCTCGGGAGTGAAGTGAGCATAAAAACAAAACAGCAACCAGAACTACCCAATACCCAAATGTCTGTGTTCTCGACTAAAACCGCCTTTCGAAATGACCAAATGATAAATAAATGCTATCTCTGAATACAGTAGAACTTCTGCGGCACGAACCATCATCGATTGTCAGAAATTATGTGCTCAGGAATAATTGAATAATTTATGTCTGAAATTTGTATGAAACCGCCAGAGAGTTTTCAGAGACTTCTATTCTACATTCTATTTTCCAATTAAGGTTTCCATTTAGTTTCCCATTTGAGGAGACTTTCGTTCCACTGAATTAAACTCTATTTGTGGAATATTCGCCAATTGCATTTTGTCAGTTTTTTGTGAAGGAACTGCATGATCATAGTCAATATATTTGTATAAAAGAAAACTTAAAAAAATCGTGGGACAATAAACACTTTTGAATGATATATATCTATCTATCAGGCAACCTTCAATCCTTGTTTCCCATGCGAGGATTGATTCATTAAACTCGTGCCGTGGCCACACACAGGTTTGCCTTCATTCTAGTCCCGACCAAAAACTTTCCATTTCGCATGAGATATTTACAGAGCCAAAGCCACAGCCAGTTCTCCGTGTAGTTTATGGAGCTGCGGTTCTCAGGCGTCTTGGCTCCCACACCTGCCCCACATCCATCCCGTTCTCCCACCCCTCCCCTCTCCCGCCACCCTTTCCGTTGGAGACATGACGCAATCTTTTCGCATCCGTTTGAGCTATTTCACAAACAAACTTGTTGCAAGCTTATTAATTTGACTCAAGAGTGGGGGGACTGCGGGCTGGGACAAGGGGGGCTGACTTGGCCAGAGTCAGAAAAATCGACTAAAATAAAAAAAAAAAACAAAAACAAGTTAATGTTTTAGGTGAAGTCATTTGCGTGCAGGCAAACACTAAACACGGACTGAAAGCGGTTCAGAGATCAGCTCCGGGGCTCAGCTCGAGATCAGAATTGGAGTCAAGTCGAGTCGAGTCAAGTCGAGTCGAGAGTCGCCTTAGTCGTTGAGTCGCCACGCCGTGTCCCCTGACAAATTTGCACAAATAATAAAAACAGATTTTAAATGCCCTGGAAATCGACTCTGGCAACTGAAAGTGGGACTGGGACTGGGACTTGGTCTTAAATCAGTTTTTCCCCTTTCCACCGCCTGCAACTCCATGCCACTGAGTGACATTTAGAGCTTTTGCTTGGTTATGGGGAGGAGGGGCTACACGATCTATCAATAGCCTTTGAAATGAGAGAAACTTTAATGGGATTTGGTGGGTTTTATGGGCTTTCAGCGGATCTGTTGCCCCATAGAAATATGTTCTGTCTTTTCTCTCTAATTAGATATTCAAACAAGTTTCTGTATATGGCTGGAGTGTCTGTCTTTGGCTAAAAAATTAAGAGATACTTTACGATATCTACACATGTACATATGTGTATGGATAAGGAAGTGTTTAAACATCCGTAACTGAACACAGCAGGCAGTGTGGTTATTGAAAGTCTTTGGGGAGCTTTACTTTAAGTCTTTCTGTTAATTCTTTTTATCATCAGATCTCTCAGCAATAAAAGCGTCACCTTTGTGACAGAATTCCTCGTTATTGGAGCAAAAGAATACGCTCCTTAACTCTCAGTGTATGTCGCATAGCTCCTTTCTTCATTGCGTGACTTTGCCCAGATTTATAATACTATTTTTTATGTAATACAAACTTTATGATTCGCCATTGTTTTTAATATTTTATTAGGGTTTTTAGTAGGTTTAATTCCATTGTTTTTCTTTAGCATTTCCTGTACGTTTTTCTCTCAGTTTTTCTCAAGGTTTCATAAGCATTTCCATTCGATCCAACCCCCCCGCATAGTATTTTTGCTGTGAAGAAACTTTTCAGTTATGGCACGCCCTAAAACTTGCGCCGCACCGGAAACTCTTGCACATTTCGATATGGTCTTTGAGCTGCAAGACCCGCCCTAGGGGCGCCCCTTTTCTGGGGCCGTGTAACTGCCACCACCTCAATCTACATAATTCACACTTCATTGAGCTTCCACTTCCAGAAAGTTACAAATCAAATTTAAACGACGCTGCCTGCTTTCAGCCAGCCAGAAGATTTCGAGTCGAGTCTCTGCTTTGGAATTCTTTCCATTTTTTCCCCTTTTAGCATCACTCAACAACGTCGATTCACTCAACCATTCATTCATTCATTCATTCATTTTGTTCTTCAATAATTTCACGCACTTTTCTTTGGCTGACTGCCCCAAATTGCTGTGCGGCCCTAAATTATCATATTGTTCTATGGCACGGCACTTCCATGACTATGGCTATTCAGGGCACGCTTCATTCGGTTCTTATCTGCGGCCTATGCTCCATGCCCCATCGCTGAGGCACGTATTATTAATTAGCCCAGTCGGAAACTTCGCCGCCCCGAGTTTCCACAAACGAAACAAAACGAAACTCAACTCAACTCAGATGTAAATGAAATGCTCTGCCCCGACGACAATTGTCTCGTAATTTATGCGAGGCATGAAAAGGCAGGCAACTGGCAACAGGCAACAAGGGAATGTTTTATGCGACACTTTTTATGTATGCAAAATGCAAACTAAATTGCAAAAATAAATAATAAAAAAACCCCATACTCAAAAAACTTGACGGAAAAACTGCGGCTCTGCCTTTTGATGTACAAAAAACGAGAGTGTGTGTTTTTTTTTTTTGGCAGGCCAACAATTAAATTTAAATTAGCCAGCAATTGTAAGTAAATTAAGTGATTCTGTACGCTTATACGAAGGTGTTGGGCATTCTCTTTAAAGGGCCACAGACAGGTTTAGTAGGTACACCCTGCTTTAAGTGCGGTAGCGATAACGATGGCTAAATGGTGTATTAGAAACATATACCTTTTAAATTATATTTTTTAATAAAATTATCTTTAGATTTAGATGATTGTCACACCAGAAAACACTGCCAGAAGTAACCGCTGTTTCGAACGTGCCAACCTTCAATGGAGATTTTTCCACTCTCATTTGTGGCACATCAATTAACACTTTTAAACTTGAACTTGTCCCGCCGGCTGTGACGTCACTTTTTGGGGGTAATTTAGTGCAACACAAACAATGGAAAGGAACAACAACAAAAGAGAATAACATCGGAAGCAGCAGCAACAAAAGGATAGAAAATTCATTTAAAATTTTAATTCTTTTTCTGGTTTTTTTGTTGTTTTGCCACCAAACGTGTTCAGATGCTCGTATCTCTAAACCACTTCGATCTGTTGAAGTTCCATGAACCCATTATTTATTTAAAGGTATTTTTTGGGGCCGATACTACTTCCTGGCCGAAAAATTGGAAAAACTTCTTTGTGCCAAAAGTCCATTAATAATGGTCGAAAAGTCGAAAGAAATAGACACAAAAATGGCAAGTCCAAATGCAATCCAAATGACAAATGGCAAATGTTGCAACTGTTGCAATTTTTTGGGGCTGGGTGGGGTAACTGCGGGGTGGTCTACTCTGGATGACGCTCGGGATAGAAGCACCGTTCCGAGCCATTTATTGTCATGGGAAGCGGGCACAAACACACATAGTATAAAGGAGGAGCCCACCCCAAGCGACCTTGAGCCGAGGGAGTCATACTCCACTGCTTTCCTCTCTCTCTCCCACTCCCTCCCTCTGACACAACCCTTCTCTCTGCGCCCCTCTCTTTCCATCTCTGGCTCATCCTCACGCACTTTTTGTGGCTCAAAGCAGGAACCAGTCGGTCCTCTCGTTTTTGCAAAAACCAGTTACATTCCCTTCTTTTTTTGTTTCCCTGTACAATCAACAGAAACTCACCTGAAATATCATATATCCCGAGTCGTACATCCAAAAGTCCTCGGGGGCCGTGTGCCCCGGCTTGGTCAGCTGTATGGCCAAACAGCGTTGCAAGATCAGACGACAACGCTGCGGACCACCGGGTGATTTGGTGCCCATTTCGTGGCTGTGTCTGTGGCTGTTCTTCTCCTCCTGCGGCGATACGGGGAGGTGCTTTGTGCTTTGCTTTTTCCAATCTTTTTTATCGTCTAAAAATAACGCGAAACGCAACGTCGAAGACGCGTCGGCCTCTGGGGGGGGGATGAGGAGGCAGTGCGTCTGTGTGTGTGTGTCTGCTTCAAAGGTCCATTACGGGGCGCGGAGAGCGTCACTTTTAATGGTCAGAAGAGCACAGGCAGGCATGGAGTAAAAAAAAAAAACCAGAGGGAACAGCGTAGAGGAGGGAACGAAAGAGCCAGTCAAGACGCGAACTCGAACTCGAACTCGAACGCCGTCGAATGCGCGATAAGAACGAAACCCGTATTCGCATTGAACTTTAAAATTTCCTTGGAAGTTTTGCCTCTTTTTTTTCGCACACTTTTTTATCTGTAACTTTTCGGTTGGTTGTTGGCTCTTTGGGGGTTTATTCTTTCTTTTATTTTATTTCGGTTATGGCCTTAGAGCTTGCTTTTTATTTTCTTACAGACACATTTGACTGGTGTTTACTTTTTTGACAACCACACAGCTTCGAACGCGACGCATGCGCGCAGGGCACACTCCACGTAAGAAAATTGTATTTGCGGAGCAGCGCAGCGCAGCGCAGAGCAGACACGAACCGTACGAATCGAGCGACAAAAACAGACTCCACTCGCGGCGCCAGCCGACCAGGCAGGCAGGCAGGTCGGTGGTCGGTCGGTCGCTCGGTCGGTCGGTCGGCTGGGGTCGGTTGCTCCCACTCTCCACTCTCTCACACGAGCACGAGCCCGAACACGAGCGCCGTTTCGGCTGCGCAAGTGGCATTTGCATTCATTGCTGCTGCTGCTGCTGCTGCTGCTGTTGCTGCTGGCAGCATTTTGCACACTTTCGGCAGAGTGGCTCCCAGAGAGCGAGCGAGAGCGCGCTTTTGGAGAGTTTGGAGACTTTGCGCACCTGAAACGACAAAAACAGAGAAGCGGCATTAAAACCTTGCTTATAAAATCAATTAGGGGCTACAAAAAACGAAAAAAAAAAAACAACTGAAGTTAGACTGAGACTCAGACTGTGGCGCTGAGGCTGCTCTGCGATCTGCTGCTGTCGTCAGAGAGTCTCGTAGTGCTCCTAATAACATCATCAGAGTCATATCATTACCATTAACCGTAAGCCATGTGGCGGCAGCTGATTTTTTTTTTGTGGTAGTTCTACAGGGATCTCTCGGAAATTAGCGCTGCCACATTTATTTGAAAATATATGTACAGAAATTAAAGCTTGTCATATAATAAGAACTCCCATAAATGGTATTCCATGGAATATAACAAAACAAGTATACAAAACGTTCTGATGTCTGAGGATTTACTGTAGCCATGTGTCCATGATATTTGCTTTGTTTTTCGCAATGCCAGAGACACATTTTGGGGCCTTTGGGATTTTCAATCTCAGTAGCGGCATTTTAAAGTCATTTCCTCCACGAATTGCCGAATTGCCGAACTGCCAAATCGCCGGATGTACAAATGACTATAAATGGGTTAATTAAATAAGATCTAGAAATTATGAGGTTGAAGTTTGGGCAGCAGAGCTTTTGGCCACCGAACCTTTAAGGAGGGGGACGGGGCTGGAGGAGCTGGCTGGCTGGCTGTGGTGCCGTCTAGGAAATGTCAGAGACAGTGAGAGCCATAATTGCGCATACGCCATGTATGCCATTCAATCAGAATTCTAATGCAAATGTAAATATGCATTGCATTGGGGTTTCCGCATATTTTCCATAGAAATTAAGTGCCAGTGCCCATTTTTTTTCGTCGTTCGATGCGTCAGACCTGCGTCAAATTTGCATAAAACAATTACGAATTTAATCAAATTACGCGATAGCTTGATTTTTATGGCCCTGACGCTGGGGAGATTTATATTGTAATTTCAGTCTTTCTTTCTGTCCGTCTGTCTGTCTGTCTATCGCTCTACATGCATTTGTGGCACATTCATCTTCCGAATTCGGTCAACAGAAAGCGGCCAGAGACATGCGGAGGTGGGGAGATGGAGATGGTGCTGGCGGCCACATAGGGCCAAACGAATTTCAGGGTTCCGAGGTTCGGTGAGGTTCGAGCTTGAAGCCAATTAAATGGCTCTGACGGTGAGATCATCGCCCACATATAAACACGATTCACCATCCCGAGGCGATTCCCATCCACAGATCAAGTGTCGCATACACACACACACACACGCACATGCACACATTTTTTGGGCATTTTCTTTTTATTATTTATTTATTACGGCTTGTATTTGTCGACCCATTAAGCCGCGGCCTTTGTTAGAAAACACGTTTCTTCTGGCCAAAAAGTGCTGGCCACATTCCCAACAGGCAGAATTCGCCAGCAGCCCCTTTGGGGTCTCCGGTCTCCGGTCGCCGTCTCGGTCTGTGGCTGTGTTTTTGTCTCCGGTGTTTGTCTTACAAATCAGAAAACATTATAAATCGGTGAAACCTAAGCGTAAGCTGAAAAGGTGCTAAACAAAAAATTAGCATAAATTATTATTAACAATTATGAGCGGCAGACCCGGCCAGAGGTGCCGTAGTGGCAGCTACCCCAAAACAACAGATCTGTCGTGTTTCCAGTCAAAGATTTCGGTTGTACCCTATACCCCTTGATGGAAAAAAAAGGTATCTTGATGATGCACGCGCACATTTGGAGGCGAGACGACACCACTTTCTATGCCCCAAGAATTTCTCTTTTGAAACCTTTCCTCAAGTTCTGTTTTCAGGTTTCAATGGGTATTCGCATCTTCTAGCAATCGTCAGAGCTTGCCTTTGTGGCTTGTTACTTTTTTTCGTTTTCGATTGCTTGTCTAGCCGCAGGCCTTAGCAGCCGAACGAGCGGACCGGACCATTGAGTCAGTAATTAAATTTGCACATGACCAGCACCAACCACAGTGAAGTGAGGCTTTTTGGAGTGTCTCTTGGTCGAGGAGAGCGAGCCCCTCGAAACAATTATAGCCGGAACTGCCTCGGACCATGTCCTTGGCGTTGGCATCACCTTGAACTTTGATTGAGGATCGTCTCCATCAGAATTGTGCGAAAATAACTCCATTCAAGAGCCATTCAATTGAAATTTGCTAAAGGTATGCAACGGAGTGGCATTCTCTTCGGTTGAACTTGATCTTTGATTCATTCTTGCTTCTTCTTTTTTTGGTTGAACCTGATCTTTGATTCACAAATAGATGAAAGCTTCGATCAAAGAAGGTTATTTGTGATCTTCAATGAATCAGATTTTTCTATTTAAATATGCAGAAACTGTACTACGGTAGGCGAATATACATATGTATGTATTTATTAAATATAGATGGCTCACAGATTCTTTTGGTTCTTTGGCAGAGCCTTTTCTTTCGCAGATAATTCCATTCAGTCAATTCCCCAAGCAGAATGCTTTTGTTAACTCTTGGTTAAAGCCAAAATCATCGCTGAGTGATTCTAACGCTCTCTTGGAGCGATTCTCTTCTTCAGATCTTTTTCACTTCCGCATTGAACAGTTCACAAAGTGAATTCGCAATGCAACAAGCGATCTGAAAATCCTTTCCTTCATTATAATGAGGCTGTATGATCCACTCCACTGCAGTACTCCCCCACACAGGCAGACAGGACAGACAGACGGGACAGGCAGGACAGACAAGACAATATTTGACAGCTCACTTTCAATTGCGACATCTAGTTAGCGGCAGATTTAAGAGCGAAATAAAACAACACGATCGCAGTGGACCGAATGGAATCCAACAAACATACAGATGGATGGATGGATGGATGAATAGCTTAATGAAGCAAGAGCCTGTTCCGTGGTCCAATCTTCGCGGTTCGCCTGTTCGTCGGTTCGCGGTCCGTGCGGTCACTCAACGGCAGGCAGGCAGCGGCGGTGGCGGCAGCACTCGGCAGTCGGCAGTCCAGTTCCAGTCCCAGGCACTGTCCACCCGCAAAGCATCAGCAACCATCACCCACTTACCGCAGTCACCCCATTCCCCCCCCCCCACGCTTCATATTTCAGTTTTACGGTTCAGCGACAACAACGAAATCTCGCGGCCCAGTTGGGGGTACATTCAGGAGCAGAGGGATAAACAGAGGGGGGCAGAGCGGGGGCAGAGCGCGGCAGAGGGAGCCTCCTCCAATTGCTGCAATGTGGCAAAGCAATCGATTTAAGCGCCGCATAAATTGAAGCCGCAGCTCCATCTGCTGCAGCACCCCTCCCTGCCCCTGCCCCTGACCAAGCCACTGCCGCACTGCTGGAAGGTTCCTCTATGTACAACATGATGAATTGTTTTCTTTGTCGAGTTGTCGACTGGAGTCTCGGGCTGCCGCCTGGAGATCGCTCGCCCGCTGCATGATGGAGTAGGAGTAGGAAAAAAAAAAAATACAAAAAAAAAAAAACAAACGCGGAGGAAAACCAAATTGCAAATTGTATCAAAAAATTTAAATTTTCGCTTTCATTATGCGGCAGCATCGTCGTTGCTGCTGCTGCTGCTGCCTGTCGTTCCATCCACCAGGCGGGGGGGCTCTGGGGGCTCTCTACTAATAGACCAAACGACTAACTCTGTTGTTCAGGCTCTAACTCTAACTCGAACTCAAACTCAAACTCTATCTCTGGCTTTTTGGCGGCTCTGACTCTGGCTCTGGCTTGTTGCCTGCCATTGTATTTTCTTTGTGTGTGTGTTTTTTTTTCCTTTTCGTGTGGCTCATTTCGTACTTTTTCTGGCCTAGCTTTTCCCTCTATTCAATTTTGACAGCCGCGTTTTTATCCAAATAATGAGCTGCATTTTGTTCAAAGAGGCATAAGCATAAGCTGCTACTCCTACTACTACCCTCCGTAAGTTGAAGCGTTCAAATAATTTATGGGTTTTGGCAGAGCGCGGAAGGTGGTGGCAGTAGGATTCCCAATCAGAGTCAATCAATGGGTGGTGGATTCTCACCAGCTGGTCGGCCAACTCCACGTATACGTGATATATTCCGAGATTTGCATTCGGTGTCCTCGGTTCACACCGATCGGCATTTGGCAATTATAAATCTGCAGCACAAAAGTAAAATGAGGATGGGATTGCAGATTGCGGATTGTGGGGAAATACCAATGGCAAAGCAAATTTGAGAAATGCCACAGATGCTCGACGAAGCCAAGAAATGACATGCCATGCCCCCATGTGCTCCTCCATGCTGAATGTGGCGGCAGGCATCTCATAAGTAGACAACCGCATGCCATGGGCCCAGACCACGACGGAGACGCGAGACGTACACGTAGACGGGAGATTCAGACGACGGAGACGATGTCTGCCAAGCGGAGACATTGCGGCAGACGATGCAATAACAGCAGCATTAGGCTTAAAGCAAGATAACGAATAACAAATACACTTGCAAGTATCAAAAGGCATCGATAGCAGTGGCTGGAACACCACTGAAAGTTCAACAAAATTCAAGCTAATTAGCTTTAATTAATGGAATTGATCAATCAATCAGAGTTATTCAATAATTTCACGCCTTACAAAATTTTAACAGTGTGCTAATATGCCCAAGCCCAAAAAAGGGTATTCCAAACGCCAAACAGAAGCCACTGACTGGCAATAACCGTTTGATAACAGCAGCAGCAGCAGCAGCAGCAGCAGCAGCAGCAGCAGCAGCAGCAGACAGTCAGCAGCAGAAGTACAGCAGCACAGTAGCGCAGAGCAGTGCGCAGGTCGCAGCTCCAGCCTCACACACACACACACACACCACAAACAGTTCGTTATGCAAGTCTCCACTGCAGCGTGCGCGCTTCTTCAATTTCAGCATTCTTTCGTCTGCATACTTTTCGCTCTGACTGTCGCGTCGCCCCGCTCTCTGCCTCTGCCTGTGCCACTCTGCGCCTAACTGTAGCTCCACTCTTGCACTCTCGCTGCCGCTGGAGCATTCACATTGATTGCTCTGCCTCCACCTCCTCTCTTTCTGCCAACTCGCTCGCTCAATGGAAAGAAATCAAATAAAACGCATAAAAAACGTAATAAAATCAACTGAAAATTGTTTAATACGATGCGTAAAGTGATAATGGTTGCATTTCCTCGGGTATATCAAATCAAATCCAAGCCTAACACTGAAATAAACTGTTACGGGAAAACTTGTTGCCATCAAAAGTTTAGCCATTAAAAAGTTGGCGGCTTTGTTGCTCTCTTGTGTTGTTTTCTATCTCTTTCTCCGTGTATCTGTTGCTTTTGCTTAATCCAGAATGTGGTATTCCCCTTGTGCATGATTTTCTAAAGGATTTCTGGACTTTTTTTTGATAATCCCACAGGTATTGGCACTCAGGAAGCTCAACTCTTTCGGAGCTATGACAGGACTATTCGACATACATAGTTTGCCATGTTCTGGCTTTAAATTGGAAATGAAATATCGAAACCCAGCAGGCTTGGAACCTAAGTTCATTGCTGACATTCTGTCGTTCAGGTTCCCGTCCCCACATCATCTAGAACAAAGCTTAAACAAAATATCGCCAGAAAAAAAAAGATTTAATACTCGAGAACTATGCCACGCACAATTCTACTGATCCAGCCCGGGGAGCGTGTGGAGAAGCGCACTTACTCCCGTTTCCAGAGCATCGACGATTGCATGGAGCGCGTGTGCAAGACCTACGAGGGAGTTCTGAAGCGCGAAAATCCCAAAATGCGCATCATCACCTACGACATTACCGAATTGTTTCAGTTCATTGACATGCTGAAGGACATCACCTGCCTGGTGCACCAGCGAGACACAAATGAGTACGTGCCGCGCAACAGGGACTGGATCAAGGATCAGATACATGCAAAGCTGCACCGGACGTCCATCACTTCGAAGGTCTTGAAAAAGAAACTAGCCGAAAATGTACACAAAGAATGAGAGGAGCATTGGAGGCACACATGAGTTTGGGTCCTCCGCTTTCGAAGGATAACGTGTAAACACAGTTCGCGGAGAGCAGCAGCGGCACAATCAACAGACTTTAATTATAAACAATTTATATATATATGTATATTTTAAAAATAAAACACAATACACATCTGATTGTGAGGATTGTCAATGATTTGATTGATCTGCAAGCCCAAACCCCCCGAAGCTAAACTCCGTTTCTGTGGCTTGATTTCTCTCCCTCTCTCTATCTCATTGCTCTCCTTCATCCTGTACCGCAACGCAGTGGGGTTGGGGGTTGGGGGTTGGGGGGTTGATGGCTGGTGGTTGTCTTCCTCTTGCTATTGCTGTTGCATTTGTTGCAAGTTTGTGTGTCTCTTTCCTTGTCTCGTTTGTCAGACATTTGACAGTTGTTTGTTATTTTTGCACGTTGACTTTTCTCCCTGGTTGTTCGTTGCTGTTGCTGTTGCTGTCTCTGTGTCATGTGTCTGTGGCATATTTTCCATGCCCCCACAGAGGTTGCCTAACAAACGCCCACTGCCACAGCAGCAGCAGCACCAGCACCACCCCTCCCTCTCGCTCTTGCACTCGCACTCTCTTCCTCTTGTATCGCCATCTCTTTTGGATTTACAATTTTTATGGCAAGTCAAATTTTGTGTTTTGTTTGTTTGTTGCATTTATTGCCATTTTCGACTGTCGGTGTGTGTGTGTGTGTGTGTGTGTCGAGGAAGTCGGAATTTGCATAGAAAAATGGAAATTAACAAGACCATTTGACTGGCTTTCCATCCATGTCCCCACCCCACCCCCACCCCACCCCACCTTGCCCCAACCACCGATACCCACCATTCTCCCATTCTCCATCCTGCTGCAGGCCAGCAGGCAGGCGCCTGTCTGTTCGTCCTGTTTGTACATTTGTCCGTGTCTATATTTAGCTTTATGTAAACACGTTTGACCAACTGAACTGACTGTTTGCACTGACTGAATGACTGACTGCCTCAGTTGGGTATCATTCATTCACTCCACCCCATCCACCCTCTCTTTATCCCTCTCTTTATCTCCCTCTCCCACTCTCTCTCTCTCTGTGTCTTACTTTGTGATGTAATCGGTTGGATTAATGCATGCGACAAAACTTTCATCTCGAATTGCGAAATCCACGCAATGCAATAATAAACGGGATAACAAAAGGAAACGACAGACAGACAGACAGTGAGAGAGAGAGGTGGGGGAGCGGTAGATCTGCTAAAGATTATCTTACAATGTTTGAATAATAATTAATAAATAATAATTAATACATAAGGAATGTTCCCGACCTCCACAACCCCCCCAAAAGGTTTACATAACCTTCGCCGTGTCGATTCATTTAGCTTGATTACAGTGAGCACTCTTTGGTGAAGCATCCAGTACAGGCATTTATGCATTTATTTATTATGTATTAAGTATTAAGTACAACCGCTCTTGGACGGACCATAACTGCGCGTGTCCGGCCCAATGTGCTTTCACTGTACTTTATTTTGGATCTCAATCTGTGGGGCTCAATGCCGCTGCTGCCTCCTGATGTGAAATCTCAAGCAGTTAAGTTAAGTTTTTGGTGTTTCTCACGTGACCTCGAAGACAAACCTCACGTACAAGGATTTCTTTTTCGCAAATGCTGCCGGTGAGGGGGTGCAGGCGTTGGAGGGGGTAACCCTACACTCCACCCCCAACCGCCCCCCCGGCCAACAACCTTATATAAGTAAGTATTTAAGTGTCTTGTATCCGTGGAAAGTGAAAATTGATGCATCGCGGCATCGATTTCCTTATGGATTTCAATATTTTTATACACCAGTCACGGAAATTCGTTTAATGAAAATGGGGACGGCAGCTAAACGACAAAAAGAGAGTAAGAGAGTGAAAGAGTGAAAGAGAGAGAGAGAGAGATAGATCTCTCTCAGTTGGTGGGGCCACGTATCATCGATGAGAACTCTTTCGATTAGAGAGATCAAAGTCGAATTTATTAAACGATTCGAAGCGGTCAATGGAAGCGAATGATGTCATAAAAGAATAACGGCAAAGATATCAACGATTCAACGAAAACGGGATGCGAGACGATAGGACAGGAACAGGAAGTGTACATAGCATAAGGTGGAGCCTTGATATGCATTGCCAGAAATAGTTGTGGGAGGGTGGGAACCTGAGATAACGAAAGAGAGAGATTAGCAAAAAAAAAAGACTTCGCGAATACCTCACCTTGCAAAAAATACACCTTGGACAGGTAGAGCACGACGAATGCACAAACAGGCCAAGCAATGGCTACAGAGAGAGAGAGAGAGACAGTGAGAGAGGGGGGAGCAGGCAGGCGGCAAAGCTGAAACCAAAGGGGAGCGACAGAGAGCAGGGGACAGACGAGGCCAAAGCCAAAGGAGAGCAGGAGGCAGCAGTCAAAACGGACAGCAAATACAGTAATTAGATCACAGGCAGACAGTCAAAAGAGGGACGCGGGCAGAGCGCGCAGAGCGGGACTGCAGAGGCGAGTTGACGGACTGGAAGCTGGAAGCTGGAACGTGACTGCAGAGAAGGAAGCCAGCGGCGGTGAGGAGGGGTGGGAGCGGGAAACGGGAAACGGGGAATAGAGTGAGAAGTGGAATAGGAAGCACAGTGCAGGTCAGGCATTTAGGTTGCAATTCACTTATTGGCTAACGATGGGGCTGGTGCGGGTGCGGGTGGGTTGGTTGAAATCATTGACATTTAAGGTAGCTCCATCAGGCTTCACAGTAGCGAAGAGGGATGATGAGGAGGGGAAGCAGAAGACTGTACAGTGTACACATGCAAGATATGTACAAGAAAGAAAACTGTTTTCCGCTGTAAGTTGCATGTACGACAGCTTCCTAAACAACAAAAGCGGCAACAATGGGTATTCGTGTGTGTGTGAAAAAAAAAGAGACTAAACTCAATTACTCAACAAACACAGTAACCTACTTCATAAAAAACAGGCGGCAGCAGCAGCAGCAGCAACAGCAGCAGCGGCAGCGGCAGCAACGAGCTGCAACATTGCCAACAAATGCTGTTAACAGCTGCAGCAACAAATTCATTTTCGCTTTTGTTGCTGCTTTCCAACGAGAAAAGTCCTTCAAGCGTGACAATCACATGGAACACAGCGCGTTGTTGTTGCTGTTGTTGCTGATTTATCGTTTTCATTTTGCACTGATCCCCCGTCTCCACACCCCTCCGCACAGCACTTGCTTATACCCTAAGCAAACGGTACACTCGCATTACGCTATAGAACAGATATTTGCAGCGTCGATTTCAACTTAAATGGAAGCATTGCGTTTCTTAGTGTATGTGAAGCTTCGGCCAGCTGATTTTGACTTGTTTTTTGGATGTTGTAAAAGGAAATGTCAATTCTGGTGCCGCTGCCCGCTTACCCCACACACAATGCACAGTGCCAGGGAGCGAGGGGGAGGTGTCCCAGAGGAGGCCCATGGCATGGCATGGCATGGCACCCACTAATGTAAGCCACACATATAACAAATCTCTTTAAAATAACAGAACCGAAACGAACCTCGTGTGTGTTTCTTTTTGGCAAAGAGATTTGGAGATTCTGGAGCCGCCTCAGCCTGCCGCCTGCCCTTTGTGGAGACTTTCTCCTTCCTCCGGGGCTCCTCCTGCCATGCCACTGCTGCTTGCGTGATGTCCAGCAATGTGCCCAAGCCTGTTTTGTTTTTTTGTTCCTTGCTTCTTTCTCTCTCTCTCCCTCTCTCTCTCTTGAGTGTTTTTTTCTTGGCCTGCCAGAATTTGTTAGCCTGAGAAGAAGATGAAGGAAACCCAAGCAGTGCAGAGGGAGAGCATGGACCGAGAGCAGCAGGACAGACAGGGACAGGGAGAGAACACACAAAGTAAAGCGCCGTTCCGTTCCGTTCCAGTCTTGGGTCTTGGGTCTGGGAATGGGAATGGGCATCAGAATGTACATGGTGCCCCGGAGCTCTTTTGGGGATCGTGAGTCAGCTGAGTTTAGGCAAAAAAAAAAAGAAGAAATCTGCTAAAAATATAAGACCCAATGATGATTTATTGTTTGGCTTATTAGAACGAGAAAGGGGGAGCACTGGCTAGCCGCAGATAGAAGATCGTTTCGCTGCTTTCTGTGCCTGAATTTATGCTGTAGTCTTTTTTGGGGCCGTGGTCCCATTGGGGCACTGCTCTCTGGGGTGGGTGACTCAAAGGGAAGACTGCTGAAACTTGAGAACTTTCCAGGTATCGGAATTTTTCGGTGTTTCTGTTTGTAGCTTTTGCCACTTTCTCATGCCCTTTGAGTTTATTTTATGCTCCGAATTTGATATACTACCTGCTGTAAGGTTTATTTTAACCGAAAACTTATTTATTCTAGCGAATAAAAAATCCATTTTAGTTATAAACTATTAACAGGCTATCCCATTCGGCATTTTGATTTTAATTTATATGGGAATTCTTCTATGATAAGATCTTCATTAAAGTGCAACAAAAGTTATAGAAGAAAAATGCATTAAATTCTATTAATATACTTAAAGAACTGTCTAAAGCTAGCAACTCAACTCCCTGAATATCTAATAAAAAAAATACATTCCATAAACAAGAAAAACCGTAAATAATAAAAATAAAATAATAATCCAATAAAAAATAATCGTAAATCCTAATGATTCAATATTCCACACTTAAATAAATAAATATTCCACATAAATTCCTTTAAGTTTAACTTATTCCAAATATGCAGCCATACAGAATGGATGCCATCGATGGTTTACCCTCGAATAAAATTACTTTCATGGCCTTCTGCTGCTGCTGCTGTTGCTGATGTTGCTGCTGTTGTTGTTGGCTTTCTTGGAAACACTCGTTGATCGGATTCCGATGCGGGATTCGCATTCAATAGCAGATTTATGCATTGGCCGTGGCAATCTAATATGAAGCACAATAAAAACTTGAATATGGCTATTTGGCAACACGTCAACAGCAACAGCTACAACCACATTCAAGGCAATGAACGAAACGTGCCAACGTCTAAAGATCGCTGATAAGCCATAAGAGAGGGAGTCAGTCGTCTTGGAGAGGCAGCAGCAGTAGCAGCAACCTCTATGCAAAGAAAGTTTTATTTTTGTTGCACACACACACACACACACAGGACTCCAGGAGTGTGGGCCAGAGCCTACTAAAATTATTCACAGTTGGTAGAGAGTGGGAGAGAGAAGAGAGAGAGAGAGTCCAGTATCCAGAGAAGTGGCTGATCGTGGAGGAGGAGAAGCCTGCTGCACTGCCAGTGCCAATGCCAGTGCCACTGCATTTAGTTGACGATTTTTATGGCTGGTTTTCCTTGGCGTTTTTCTTAACTGTTATTTCTCCTGTCGACTGCCATTAGCAATTAATAGACGGCACGAGAAATTTGCATTGCAAAAGGAAAGTGACAACAACAACAGCAACAGCAGTAAAAACCAGAAAGAAAGGCTCTAGCCTTGGGGGCCGAAGCTTCAAATACTCTTGGAGCATCCACATCGTTACTATGGCATTTAAAAGATGTTTTTTATGTAGGGCTTTCCATTCAGCATCTAACACAAAGGAAAAATCGCGTTGCTCTAGGATTAGGCGAAAGCCAGGTGTTCAAACAGCCAAACTTCAACTTATTTTCTTCATTCTGGCTATAATAATGATTTTATCTTGACGTTTTTCTGGAATCAAGGAGATATGAACAACCTTTATGATTCTGCGTCTATGCATTTTTCGTATCTGAAATTTCGGCTATTGAATGGACTTTTATACCCCGAAAAGGGTATGCAAAAAATGGTGATAAAAGCTTACATATATCGCCCGGTGACAGTAGTCGACACTTTTGGCCATGGCGGTGGCGGTGACGGTGGCAATCACCGATCACCGATCACAAATCACAAATCACAGATACAATATATGGCCAGGAGACAGAGAGATGAGGCTGGGGATGTGTGTGGCTGGGAAGATGCAATAATTGTCTGTGCAGGGGGTGTCGTCTATGTGTGTCCGTTAGCTAATTGTCAGATACATATTCGTGGTCGTAGCGTAGTGTGGGTGCAGCGGAGGGGCACAATTCACGCCAAAAGTGAGAGTGAGACGAGGGGGGCCAGGCGACACCTGTTTAACCGCGGATCTCGTCTCCCACCTCCAATCAGTGCGTGTAATCTGGGTGCGTGTGTTTTTGGCCTGCTGCCTCTTGTCCCCAAGCATCAGACGTTGAGCATGATGCCTCATCAGCATCAACATCAACATCAGGCTGCCTCAAACGCCCGTGGGCACCTGCTGGCGTGTCGTGGCATGCCGTGACGCTCGATCGATCTGTTTCGGGGCAGACGCATTAAGTTTCATGTGCTGTCATTATTTTAAATTATGCACACGAGCGAAACTCACAAATGAAAACAATCCAAACGAGACACTGCATAATTGAGAGACATTTTCCAGACTCATTTGCATATACTCGTATCTGTCTCTGTATGTGTGTGTGTGTGTGTTTGTGTGTGTGTGTGGAAAATTGTTTAACACCTTTGCTTCTGTCTCTGACGAAGCTTTCGATCAGGTGGCAAACAGCTACAGCTAGCTAAATACCCTCTGGAAAGATCAGGATCGTAGATTTCAAAATGAAGAGGAACATTTAATTGAAGTCCTTTGGATTTAGCGCTCGATTATAATCCGATTCTCGTTTGTGGTGGCCGTTTCCCCATTATCCTTTGAAGGGGCAACTCCCTGCTGTAGTTTCGCTGTAGCTTCGCTGCTTTTGTTAGCCGCCTTCGTCAACTTCTCACTTATCTGACTCTTGATCCACTCCTTATTGCATGGCGTGTAGGCCTTGGCGTCCTCCTGGTACACCAAGCAGGTGAGATCCTTCAGCACGTCGATGAAGTCAAACAATTGGATGATGTCGTAAGTGATGACACGCGCTATCGGGGTGCAGCGCTTCAGGTGCTCCTCGTAGATCTTGCACACGCGCTCCACGCAATCGTCGACGCTCTGGAAGTAGGCGTAGGAGCGGCTCTTTTCTCGGCCATCAAGCTGGATCAGTAGAATTGTGCGAGACATTTTCGGGCCTTTTTTTTTTTTTCAATATTACGAAAGACTTTTGCACACGATTTAAGGTTCAGCGACTGCTTGGTTGTAGATATATTTAGATTAATTCGAACTCAAAACAATGCCTACTCTTTCGAATCGATTTCCTTTTCAATTCGATCTCCTTTCCGTATTACAGAGTCGAAGCACCAAAGAATCATCCATCGGTGGCTGGTATTCTACGGTATCATGCCATATCTTGTGGATACATTTGTATGCCCATTCTTATGCCCTTACATTCCATTGATCGATCAATATTTATGCTGAATAAATTCGTCTTATGGCTGGGATATAGACAGAAATAATCATCATTATATCGTTACCGAAAAATCAGATCAAATAGATTCTGACACCTCTGCGGAAAGACAAGCTCATTTCTCATTTAAGATATAAAAATACACGCCCACAAAACTCCCACATCATTAGAAAAGATTCCTGGCTGCCGCGATGACACATTACTGTCACTCCGCGATATGAGCTAAATTTATTGGTGCAGCCAGCCCCTGATTTTCCCTGCTCCCAGTTGCCTTGCTCGCGAAGTAAGAACGCCGAATGCTATTTACTCTATCGATTCGTTAGAGATGATTTTAATGTTTCGAGCGATCTCCTCCAGGGAGAGATGTTTGTGTAAATCGGTCTCATCTGCTAGATTAATCCAGACAGCATCGGAAAATGCTTCCTTCTGTGGAAAATTGATATAGGCCGCTTCAAGGGTATATACAGAATATTCTGTTCGTGTCGTCGCATGCAGAAACATTTTTTTTTGTGGGAGGCCTCCTCATGGGAAGATGTCACAGGGATCGTCGTCGTCGCCGTCGTCGTCTCGTCCGGGAAAAGGCATTTAGAGCATTTCATTAGTGTGTGTTTGTGTGTGCAGCCGTAAGGGGCAGCTGCCACAAGACCGTGTGCTGTGGCACGAGTAAAAGCTAAAAAAGCAAGAGAGACTCATTTCGTAATGACGGGGAGCAGAAAGAAGAATAAAAACCCAAAAACTAAATCGTTGACATCTTTGCCAACTAAAAACACACACTAAAAGAGACACAGAGAAATGGGGGGAGGGAGGAAGAAAGGGAAAATGGAGTGAGAGAGAGAGGCAAAGGCCGACAGGGAAAAGCCCCAGTAATTTATAGGAAAATTCCTTTGGAATTTATGTGCGGAATCATGACATAAATTAACCAACCAAGTGTAGCGATGGCAGTGGCGTCTCTAGCCGCTATTAGTGTGTGTGTGGTGTGTCTGTGCCAGTGGTGCCAAGCGGGAGGGGTGGGCAAGGCATGGAAAGTGCTGCCAAATGTGTGTTTATGTGTATGTGTGTGGGTTAGTGGTGCAAATTGCAGCTGCTGCTGATGCAACCGCCCGCACACACCAAGTATTTAGTTGAATTATAATAATTACAAATAATTATCCAACATTTTGTTAAGCGAATGTAACTAATCGTTTATGCTTCGCCTGCGAAATGGGGGGTATCCCATCCTCTTGCAGTGCTCTCTTTTTCCCCACTTCTCACTTTCTTTCTTCTGCTTAGCCATGCGTTCGTCTTTTTCCTCTGTTTCCCTTTCTTCTGCTGCTTCTGCCGTAATCATTTAATTTGAAATCAACTTTGGTTTTTGTTTTGTTTTGGTTTGGTTTTCGTTTTGATTTTTATGTAATTGCCGCTTAATTATGAAGCAATTAAAACGCAGCGCAACTTTCGGGGGCGTCGCGTCCAAAAAGTTTCTGAAGCATTGCAAAGACCCATCTCATCTCCAACCAAATCCGAAATGGGGTCAAGAGCTTCAAGAAGGAGCAACCAACCATCATGGCTGTTGGCTGTTGGCTGTGGCTGTGGCAATGCAATCGATTTTCAGCTTTTATGCCTTGCATAATCACTCATAATTTGTTGTCCACTTGGTGTCCACTTCAGTTGCACGTTGCACATTGCACTTTGCACATTTTTCTGCATGCTGCATCTCATTCACTCACACTCAGTTCTCCAGCGTATCAAGTGCATATAATTATGCGGGGGGTAATACCCTGCACTGCATAATGGGCACAGGTCATAGCTAGTTTATTGTGGCATATGACACCATTTTACTCCAATAATTATCTATTCATGATTCCCTTTGGGTAATGTTCAGTGCGAAATTCAATGAATTAATTTAATTAAGAGAACTTTCACTAAACATTTATATCAAATCTTATATTTTATATGCATTCCATAACGATCTAGATTCTAGAATGTATTTCTTGCTGTAAAACTCAAAGGAACTTTGCTGGGAGCAGAGCCCTGAGAGCGAAAGAAAGGCAGTGTTGTCTCACTCTAACTAACTAAGAGAGCGTGGGATTAACTGAGAGAGCAATGGCAAGCGGTGCCATGAGAGAGCCAGCAATAAAATGAAGCAAATGCTCTCTCTCGCATGTATTGTGTGAGAGGCGCAAAGCTCGTAGATCGTAGAGATAAGACAACGATGCACAAAAAGGAAATGCAAAAGAAGTGACATGCATGGACATGCTCAATGTTTATGTTTACGCCGCTAAATCAAAATACACCAACTTAAAAAGCAAATCAAGAGCTACTCCTTGGAAAGGTAATATGTAAATATGTACCTGGCAGGTTCTATTTCTTTTCCCACATAAACAAACCCAAAAGGGATAGCTGCGCTTTGTCATAGGGCATTACAATGGTCGACTTGCCTTTGCTGTCTGCCTTTTGATGGAACGCCTTTCCCAGCGTTTCTGGCATTTCTGGGCCACTGCTGAAGTTCGTTCGTGTTTGGTTTTTCTACATAAAAAACTGCCGGCCATTTAAATTGTCTTCCAATGCGCACCATATTACATAATTAAGACAGCAAGCACCAGCACCAGCACCAGAAACAGCAGCCAAAGCAACAGCCGCCACACCAAGAGTGCAATGTCTGCCCAGACGGACAGCCCAGAGGAGGAGAGAGAGAGAGGGAGATGCCTGCCTGACTGACTGACAGGCCATCAACTCCAGCAAAATGCTCAACACCTCGACGGAAAAGAGCCATAGCGACGGCCAGGCCAGCACTTTCCCGCTGTCGGACTCTACTTTTTCCGATGCATCATCATCATCATCATGACGATCATCATCATCGCATAATCAAAGAGTCGTAAAAACCAATAATCATTATCTAGCAAAACAAGCCAATTAATGCTGCTGCGGCGGCCACCACCACCAATACGACATAGCCACAGAGTCAGTAATTAAATGAAAATAAAACACCAGAGATTTGGCCAACTTAAGCGAAACATTCAATGGAGTGGTGGAGTGGTGGAGGCGGGGGGCGGACGGGTCTGGCCAAGCGAACAAACAAGTCTATTACGAATTACGGCAGAGCAGAGCAGGGCGATGCGATATGTGTATATTATAATTATAAGTGCAGTCTTTTCACCAATTTTGCCATTTGCATGCCATAATAAAACGATAAGCTGTAGCGGAAAGAGAGCCCCCAAAAGGAAGTCGGAAGTCTGGACAAAGTGTCAGGCCTTCGAATACCCATTACAGATATACCCTAGCAATTATAATACTGTACTTTATACGATAGACTTATTTTTTGAATCGATTTATATTTATATTTAATACTTTTTAAAGGAAATTTGTTAGTTAAGAACATTTTTCTACCGCTCATAATAATGCTCATAGTGCTCATAATAGAGGCAAAAATATTTCCACCGAATTTGCCCCCAAAAACCGTACTATCCACCAGTCAAAAAGGGTATCTAAACGGGAAGAATGTTTCGGGTTGGGGTTACCCATTCCCATGTGTCTGTCTGTCTGTCTGTTCATTCCAATTAGTGGGGAAAACTCAAGTGGGAAATTGTCAGCGACTGATTGGGCACTGGATATTGGGCGGTGAGGTGTCGCCACCGCTGCAGCTCCGAGAATGGGTGAGAAATATTATGTGGAGTGCGTCCTGTCCTGCTGCCGCAATTTACAAATCAAGTTTGCTCGCATTGAAAATTAGTGAAAGTTGCGCCCAACTCCCAGGTTGTTGTTGTTGTTGTTGTTGGTTAAGATGGTGTTGCATCGGTTGTTGTTTTTTTTTTTTCGGGTTGTTGCTGGTGGATGGAGAGCCAGCAGTCCGAACGGTAGCCCAAACCTAGGGCAATATCGTGTCGGCGATCACGGGCCAGCGATAAAGAAAGAAAATTTAAGGAGAGTGGACCCCCCCAAGGGCAACTGGAGGTCAGGCCTAATTGATTGGAAAACCCCATTTCTTGTCGACTCTTTGGTTACCATTTTGTATGGATAATAAGCATCAATATACCCCCAGATGAAGCGCAACGTATGGCAGGGCTAATCTGGATAATTCCATTAGCATGGGTTTGTTTTCTTTCTTTGTTTTTGACGAAGATCAACTGTTTGAACATTAATCAGGTGAGCATTAATTTGTTTCGAGATCAAGTGAGGATATGCTCGTAAACATGTGAGGAAATGACCCATGCCCTTACGATTTATCTGGGTAGGGAAATGCGAGACTCTAAAAGCTAGAGACCCCAAAAATTAGCATCAATAGGAAGCAGCATTTTGTTTAATTTCCCATAACTAATCTTAATCCAAAAATAAACAAATATCTTCAAGGCAAACCAACTCTGCGGAATGGAATGCTCGGAATTTTCGCAAAATACGAGTATCAGCAAGAAATTATTTAACCAAAATATCTAAGTGTAACTAATGAATACAAAATGAGTTAATATCGGAATCATTAAGACAAACCACTGATCGTTCGGTTTGCAGTATTTTCCCATGACTAACACGAGGTGGTATGCATTGCATTTCCATTCCCAGACCACACGAAAAACCATCCAAAGTGTGGTGTGGTGTGGTGTGGGGGTGGCGTGGAAACTCTTTCTTTTCTTTCACTTTGCTCAAAATTCAGTAATTTCATTTGATGTACATTTCAAATTGAAATATTTCTCAGTGCGTTTTCATTCAAAATGTTTTTGGTTTTTGGCTTTGGCATGCCACATCATCATCCCCTCCCCACCCCGTGTTGGTTCCATTTTGTCAAGTTTTGCCATTTGCCATTTCGAGTGCTGAATTTTTCATGTGCATTTAAT